CGAACAGCACACAGGTTTGTAACAACATGAGGGTAAGTAAATAACAACACAATTCTCATTTCATTTGTTTTAACTCATTCTGTCACCTCAGGCACTCAATAAACATGAAAATCAATGGAATTGCCAACCGCAGCACAAACTATTGAGTGGATTGAACAAACAACAGCGTCTCACTATCTGCCTCAAAACAACTAGATGTTGGTCTGTTTTTGTCTGTCACACTCACAGATGAAGAATGGACGACTAAACGGCTGCCTCTGACATAATAAATACCGTAACGCAACATAAAATATTTCCAACGCAGTATTATGGAAATGTGGTGGCTTGCCATTTTTAAGCACTGCCGGGATAACTAGTAGAGTTTATTTTAGCCTTTTGAGCATCAATAACACTGAACAAGATGTTATCTGTAATGAATTCCCCTGATGGAACATTATCTTCCTTAATTACAGCAAACGGAAACCTGTTCGTCAACAGAGCAGCATTTTTTCCTTTTGCTACACCGGAAATTAGCAGTGGATTTCCTCCAATAGAGCTCTATTTATGGACTAAACATAATTTTTGCCCTCAAAATGATTCGTCCCAGTTGACCCAGTGGAGGTCAAGTATGTATAAAGTGCGTTTGCGTAAAATAATCACATCCATCATTCATTTTCTGGCCTCTAAATGTGGTGGGTGGACCTAAATCAAGCCCCCGGGCCGTAGAAAGCTCTCAGGACCAAACGCCACAGATCCTGGTAATTTCCATAAACCTGATATCCAAAAATAGACGTTACAAGCCAAGGTCAGTTATACTAATAGATCAGCGACTGATGGAGGAACACCGAAGACTATCAGAGTATGTGTCCTGTACACGTGTTTTCTCTTTCAAAATGCGCAGGAGTTTTTGTTTATTCTGATCAGCAAATCCCAGTATATCAGAGAGCTGAGTGTAATCTGCGCATCATGAAGTCAGCAGTCGTGTTTGACCTTCATACACACTCTGAGCATCAATTATCCAGGCTGCTATTGATTTTTCTGCTGCGCTGCTCTGCTCTCTAATGCTGTCAGGACCGTCTGAAGAAATCATCTGTGCAGGCTGCTCCGCGCCTCAGTTCTGCACTAAATTATCATAAAACCAACAGAACTAGACCTTATCATACGTAGATTGATCATATTTAATTAAATGATTATAAACCCTACAGATTTCAACAGTATTAGACTTTAAATATAATCAATAAGTATAATTAAAATTCTTAGAAATCATAGAACTCAACAAAAAAAAAAAATATTGATGATAATTAAAACCTATTCAAACAGAATTACACATGCAATATAATCTATCAGGTATAAATATAATTGTAATTCTTAGAAAAGTACATAGAATTCAACTGAAATTGACTGAATTGCACATAATTGATCAAATTTAATGGAAATGATTATAAACCCTGCAGGTGTCAGGAGAATTAGACTTTAAATGTAATCTATAATTAAAATTCTCACAAAAACGGACTTACTGTAATCATACTTTATTGATCACAATTAAATTTGCTATGAAACTATAGATTTAAACAGAATTACTGTACACTTGACATATAATCACTCAAATATAAAAACAATTATAATTTTTAGAAAACATTGAATTTAACAAATTGACTTGAACCATACTTGACTGGACATATTTAATGAAAATGATTATAAACCCTACAGATTTGAGGCTTTAAATATAACCAGTCAAGTATAAATATAATTAGAGTTCAAAAGAAATTGACCTGATTGACCATATATAATGAAAATTATTATAAACTCTACATAATTCAACAGGATTAGACTTTAAATATAATCAATCAGAAAATTACAATTTCTGATTTAAAAAATTAAATTTCTTCCGAAATATACAGAACTCAACAAAAATAGACTTAATCATACTTAATTGATCGTATTTGAATAAAATGACTTGACACTGAAAGATTTCTACAGAATTAGACTTTAAATATAATCAAGTACAATTGTAATTCTTTGGAAAATAGTCATAATTCAACCAAAAGTGGACTTTATTGATCATATTTGAATACAATTATTACAAAAACGGCATATTTCAACAGAATAAGACTTTAAATCTAATCGATTAAGAATATATGAAGTATAATTCTTGGAAAATATACAGAAAGCAACAAAAATGGATAGGATTATTGATCATATTGAATGAAAATCACTATAAAATGAACACTATCATAACTGATCATATTTTTAAAAAAATGTTGAAAGATTTCAACAAAATTAGTAAATATAATCAAGTCCAATTTAACCTCGAACATATACTGATTTATTGATTAAAATTATTACAAAGTCTGAAGAATTTACTATTATAGTTGACTGATCTAATTTCATTAAAACTAAATACATTTTTTTGTCTAAATTCACATTTTTTAAAAATGTGATAAAATTGGGTCATAATTTAAATTATTATCATTTCAATTGAAGTATTAAACTGATATCACATCTACAGAAATCAACAGAATTGGATGTAACAGTATTTAATGTATCTCTTGTTGTTCTCGCATGTGTTTGGATCTTCACTGAGCAGCACAAAACCTTGGTTTTACATCAACATGAAAGCAACCCATTTTAATTCAGCAATCTGAAATGAAAATACATAAAAAATACATGAAGAAGAACTTGATTTTATCAATCAGGAACGGACTGAATTGTAAAAAAAAAGTGTTGCATACCAGCATGAAGCCAGGTGATTGAACGCGAGGGGCTGAAAGCAAGAGGGATTTGTGACATCATCCGAAAAGGAAATCTGTTTCAGAGGATGAGCAAGTTATTACATTCTGATGAAAAACATTACAAAGATAAACATTCTCTTCTCTGGAAAAACACGCACCGATGGGTCGCGCACAATGACACAGAGAACGTACGTTACAAAAGTAAACGGGGTCAGTTTTGATTTGTTGGCGTTAACATATAATTTTCTGTCGCCAACATACTTCTTTTATTCCATTATTGGGTTTTGAATGCGTTAAGGAGACAGAATGTTTACCCAGCAGGTAGCGAAGCCCATAAGAATCCCTCTATATTCCTTAGAGCTCATTGTTTTGAAGGTAGACACGCTGTTGTGTTACTCTCTGATATTTACACTCCAGAGGTTTATATTTATCTTAATATTTCATGTTTCTCCCCGCATGGAAGCCACCATTTTAAACCAGTGCCTCATATATGACTCCACAGACACATGTAAGCAAGAAATGTCTCCTGTCTAAAATGTCTTCTGTTTGTGGTGTAAACAGCTCGGCTGTCAGGTAAAGACACATCTCAGACGCCGTATGAAGACAGCGGAAAAACATTTACCACCATCAGAAGAACCAAATCTCTCGCCTCGGGACAGTTTTCTTTGATGTTACTGGCCTCACTTAAAGTACAATGACAAAGTGCTATGACAGCGTCAGGTGGTAATACTATGGTACTTGGCTGTGTATCATAGTTTACATAGTATTTACATATCATGCATAGGTACAGTAATTCAAAGACTATCATTGTAAAGACATAATACTTGTAGTAAAAGTGACTTTTTTGTCAATGAGCATGAAGGTGTGTTTTTGTGTATACTTCCTGAAGCGTTTTCATTAGTGCACCGTGAGATTTTACAGCCAATAGACTGCCCTCTGTCTCTCTGCTGTTGCCGTGGAAACCAGGCGAGAACAGGAGGGGGGACATGGGAAATGAATTTATATCTCTCAGCTCTAGGATCACTTACTGATCCGCTGCTCAGATCGGAATTAAACTCTCGCTGCACATAAAGGGCACCGTGGATCAGAGAGAGAGATGAGAAAGAAATGAGACAAAACAAGCATGCACATATTGTATACGTATAGAAAAAGCACTTGTTTTCATTCATATACCACTGTGATCAAATCTGCCCATAGGCGAGACAAATCCTGACGGAGATGTCTTTAATATCTAGACGGCGATGAGCAAATGGAGGCTGGAGTCTCCTGATTGTTCTCCTAGTGATCTTGAATGTCTCCTTCAGCTTTGCCAAGACACTACTGTCTGCAATTGAAAGTCAAAGATTTTAATATGAGCATTTCTCATCTGCCCTCTGACTGTTTGTGTTTCAGACATAAAGGATAATTCAAATTGTGCGGCTTTGTTGTGTGCTATAACTTTCCTAAGCAATCAAACTTGCAATTTTTGTCTGGCAGACAATACAACAAGAAAAATTGTATAGACTATCATAGAGATGTGGGAGTAAACTCTTTGGACTTGGTAACGCTGTAGAACACCTTAGCAACCGTATACAGTATCAACACAATAACATGATAATGGAATAGTAACACCCTAGCAACCGCTTTCAGCACCTTAGCAACATCCATTCGGAATACTTTATCAATTGAATAGTAACAGCCTAGCAACCGCTTTGAGCATCTTAGCAACTGTATAGCAACATCCACTCAGAACACTTTATCAATGGAATAGTAACACCTTGGCAACTAACCAGAACACTTTAGAAACCATATATGTAGTAGAACACTAAAAATGACTCAGTACACTTTATGAATAGAACAGTAACACCCTGGCAACCATCCAGAACCCCCTAGCAACCATACAGTATAGCCGTACACTTAAAATGACTCAGAATGTTTTAGCAGCAGGACAGCAGCACCCTAGAGACCACTCAGAACACCTTAGCAACTGTATAGCAGTGCACTAACAACCACTCAGAACACTTTAGCAACGGAACATTAACACCCTAGTAACCACCACCACCAAATTTTGTTCACCCAAAATTGAAAATTCTGTAAACATTTACTGACCCTCAAGTTGTTCCAAACCTGTATGAGTTGCTTTCTTCTCTTAAACACCAAAGAAGATATTTTGAAGAATATGGGTACCAAACAGTTGCCGGTAGCCATTGACTTCCATTAATTTTATTCCATACCATGTAAGTCAATGGCTACCGTCAACTGTTTGGTCATCAACATTCTTCAAAATATCTTTTTGGTGTTCAACAGAAGAAAGTGACTCATACAGGTTTGGAACACCTTTAGGGTGAGTAAACGATGACAGAATTATCATTTTTTTGGGGTGTACTACCCCTTTAAATAAATGTAACTGGACTCCTAATTTGTTCTAAGCGAGGTTCTTCTGAAGCTGCAGAGAACATCAGGGTGTGTCAGAAACTTTTGATCACTTATATGGACCGGAGTAGCCAGTAAAACCGCTCGGCATCATGATCCGATGATGCACTTTACCAGATCCATCCGCTCTAATTTTATTGATACTCATGTGCTGGACAAACAGGATGTAGAAAAAAATATAAACCCAGGGATGACTGCAGCGGATCAATGTAGAACAAGATCATTATCGCCGTATTCCACAACCTTGAGAGCCACAAGTCCGTGGCGCACTAAAGCAATCTTCGTAAATTGTTAATGCTTCCTACCTCTATAATACACAAACAGCTGAATGACATCAGAGATGAAGGAAAGGAAATAGGATGAGGATGAGTGTGTGTATGTGTGTATCCTGTAGACATAAGTCTTGCGACTCTTCCTGTGAGGTCGTGCCTCAAACAGGCCAATTAAACATGGTGCCCACACTCTTGAGCTTTGCTATTCAGATGGGTTCGGTATTAATCACCAAGCTAACAATCTACTCCTACCCTTTCTGCTCCGATGCCCCCTCTTAAAGACACACCACACCAACAACAACAGCAGCCCCACATCTTTGCACATTTAATCCCACCAATCACAGCGCTAGTGATAACAGTTGTTGACAGTGCTTCCGGGACCTCAACTTCACTTTTATGCGTTATAATTAATAAAAGCCCCAACATAACTGAGAGAGCAAGAAAACCTGTTAAATCCTCTCAGAGATGATACAAATATGAAGTCATTATTTGTCTTTAAAGTATAGTGTAAATATCATCAAATGCGCTCATTAACAGAGGGTTTTTGATCTTTCAATGATAACGAAGACAAGATGAAAAATGTGGATCATGGCAATAAATAAACAGTTTTAATTAAAATTACCATTGATGAAAATATGATGAGACAAGAAAATACACTTTAAGACACACACACACACTCACACACACACACTAATATATATACATATATTAAATGAATAAAATTTTATTTATTTAATAAAATAAATTATTCAGAATGAATTTAAATGCAAATACAAAATATCAAATATTTTATTTAACTTTAGCAAAATTAAACAATTTAATCAGGCTAAAATTAATGAAAATAACGATGAAATATTGACTGAATTTAAAAAGGTGAAATAAAAAAATGTGTAAAAATGAACACTACAAAAAAACCATGAGCACTAAATCTACATCCACCTGTAAAACTCTTAAAGCGAACAACCTAAATCCTGAAGATGAAATCTAATGCTAAACCCATGGCTACTTAATTTTAAACCTTTAATCCTCATTTCTAAACTCCAGTATAACCTAAAACTGAAACTTCAAAGCCCTCAATATAAATCCTTATGACTAAAACTAATTCTAAAACTTAACTCCAAAGCCTATTGTCACGAATCCGGTCCATGCACTTCTGTTCGCTCACCACCAGAGATCACCCGCTTACTACTATGGACTCTTGCACCACACTACTGTTGCACTTCACCCGGACTACAGTTCCCATCATCCATTGCACTGATTACACACACACAGCTGAATCCAATCAGACATGCTACATAAGCCATGGACTTCCTCTCTCTCACTACCGAGTATTGCAAACGCATATTGCTACTCTAGTCGATAGCTACTTTACAGAGCCAGTTTCCGGTCCTAGTTTGAGTTTCTAGTTGTCTAAGTCTAGTCACGTCTAGTTTCCTGATTGCCTGTTTCCTGATTATCGCTTGTCCTGGATTACCCCTCTCGTCTCGCCCTGTTCGAATACTGTTTGCCCCTCGCCTGGACCATAGCCTGTGTTTCGGATTAACCCTTTGGATTACCCTGTTTGGACATTGTTCGCCGGAGATCGACCACGCCCGCTCACTGGACTACTCTTGTGTCTTGCCCTCAATATACCTGTTTGCCATTGTCTGACCCTTGCCTGTTTTGACTATGTTCTAGAATAAAGCTTTGCATATGGATCCGCACGCCTCTCGTCTCGTCGGCTCCGTAACACCTATAACCAAAGACTCAATCTAACCATAAACCTTTAATCTTTAACTCTAAAACCTAAAATAGAATTCTAAAACTGCAGTATTGTTGGCTCTTGTATGAGATATCGCTTGCAATGTTCTTCATTTCTCACTTTGGATAAAAGCATCTACTAAATTTAAATCCTACAACCTAAAAAATAAATCAAATACTAAACCCTTCATATTTAACTCTGAAACCTAAACTATAACAAAAACAACCTAAACCCTTAAAACTAAATTAATATTCTAATTCTATGCCTAAACTAAGTTATAAAATAAACCCATAACCCTTTAGAGGCCAAAGCCTAAAAATAATGTACCTTTGACAAAAACCAAACTTTAAACATCCTAAAACGTTCTTTAAAAATCCCAAGCACAACATATAAATCCTAAAACTTGAACAAACACTTAAAACTCGATATAATGTCTTAACTTTAAACCTCAATCCTAAACTCCAAAATGCTAAAAATGTGGTATAAATGTGGTATATACAAAATGTTGGCTCTCATATGAGAGATGGCTTGTGATAAAAAGCATCTAATCAACAAATGTAAAACCTAAACTATAAATCCTACAACCTACACTCTGAATACTAAATCTAAATCCCAAACCCGTAATATTTAACTTTAATCTCTAAACTTCAACAGCAACAACCTAAACCCTAAAAACTCAATTAACATCTAACACTAAACTAAGTCATAAACAAAACAATTTTAACACCAAACTCTAAACCCCAAAGCCTAAAAAAACCTTCAGACTGAATCCAAACACTGAACTCTTTAACTCTAAGTCCTAAACACATTTAAATATCAAAACTCGAATATAAACCCTTAAAACTAAAACTAATTTAAAGTCTTCTCTCTAAACCGCAATCCTAAACCTTTAACCGTAAAATCTACAATCTAAACAGTAAAGACTAAATGTAACGCTAAACCAATCCTAAAATTGTGGTATTGTTGGCTCTTCTGAGAGAGATTGCTTGCAATGTTGGTCATTTCTAAGTCACTTTCGATAAAAGAACCTACAAAATGACTAAACCTAAACCCTTACTACCTTACTTTAAACCAGAAACTCCATTAGTAACAACCTAAACCCTTAAAACTGCATTTAAATCCTAAAACTTGAACGTAAACCCTTAAAACAAAAACCAATTTAATGTCTAAATTACAAAACATAAACTCCATTGAAAAAATGAAATAAAAAACCCTCAAGTCTAAACTCCAAAACAAAACAAGACAGACTAAATCCTTCAGACCAAATCCAAATCTTGAACTTTTTAAGAAGTTTTTAAACACCAAGTCTTAAACACATTTACACCCTAAAACTTGAACATAAACCCTTCAAACAAAAACTAATTTAATGTCTTAATTCAAAAGCCTAAACCCTAAACTCCAAAGCAAACCCCCCCGCCAACAACCCTTAAAACAAAAACTAATTCAATGTCTTAATTCCAAAGCCTTAACCCTAAACTCCAAAGCCAAAAAACAACCCTTAAAACAAAAACTAATTTAATGTCTTAATTCCAAAGCCTTAACCCTAAACTCCAAAGCAAAAAAAAAAAACAACAACCCTTAAAACAAAACAAAACAAAACAACCCTTAAAACAAAAACTAATTTAATGTCTTAATTCCAAAGCCTTAACCCTAAACTCCAAAGCAAAAAAAAAAAACAACAACCCTTAAAACAAAACAAAACAAAACAACCCTTAAAACAAAAACTAATTTAATGTCTTAATTCCAAAGCCTTAACCCTAAACTCCAAAGCAAAAAAAAAAAACAACAACCCTTAAAACAAAACAAAACAAAACAACCCTTAAAACAAAAACTAATTTAATGTCTTAATTCAAAAGCCTAAACCTTAAACTCCAAAGCCAAAAAAACCCCAACAACCCTTAAAACAAAACAAAACAACCCTTAAAACAAAAACCAATTCAATGTCTTAATTCCAAAGCCTAAACTCCAAAGCAAAAAAACAACAACCCTTAAAACAAAAACTAATTTAATGTCTTAATTCAAAAGCCTAAACCTTAAACTCCAAAGCAAAAAAAAAAAACAACAACCCTAAAAACAAAACAAAACAAAACAACCCTTAAAACAAAAACTAATTCAATGTCTTAATTCCAAAGCCTAAACCCTAAATTCCAAAGCAAAAAAAAAAACCCAACAACCCTTAAAACAAAACAAAACAAAACAAAACAAAACAAAACAAAACAACCCTTAAAGGGGTCATATGATGCTTTTTTAAAGATCATTATTTTGTGTATTTGGTGTAACAGAATATGTTGACATGCTTTAATGTTCAAAAAACACATTATTTTTCAAATACTGTACATTATTGTAGGTCCTCTATACTTGAAATCGCATCATATGACCCCTTTAAAACAAAAACTAATTCAGTGTCTTAATTCCAAAGCGTTAACCCTAAACACCAAAGCAAAAAAAAACAAACAACAACAACAACAAAAAAACCCTTAAAACAAAACAACCCTTAAAACAAAAACTAATTTAATGTCTTAATTCCGAAGCATTAACCCTAAACTCCAAAGCAAAAAAATATATATATATATATATATATATATAAATGCAAGGCACTCAATATTAACTTCTTGAAGATTAAACTTTGTGTGACTTTGAATAAAATGAAAGAGATGAAACTACGAACTATATTTTAAACTAAATTCACAAACCCCCAGATTAAAATACTTGTGCCTGGTTAAAAATTTACTCTAACTGCCCATGAATCAAACAAGACGTGACATGTTTTAAGACTAACATACACTGTATGATTTTGCCATCCTAGATTAATTTGGGAAATATTAAGATCATAAGATTTATTTAAGAGTGTGACATGCTCACCATTTTCCATCTTTGCAATGAATTTCGGATGTAGATGTTCTGACTGAAATTTTGGGTAACAGTCCTGCAGTGTGACTGTTGCTATGACAATCATCTAATGAAAACCAATAGGAGCACAGAAATTAAAAACAGTAAAACATATTTATATTAGATATGATATGCTATGGAAGCTTGTTTCTGCCACATGATAAATAATAATAACAACAATAATACTACTACTAATAATAATAAAATAAATTCTGCACAGTTTATATCTCACAATCTGGCTTTAAAAAAAAATAAAAAAAAATAATTACGAGATATAAAGTTGCAATTACCTTTTTTATTTATTGGCGGAAACTAAAAGTCAGAATTTTGAGATGGAAACTCAGAATTCAGAGAAAAAAGTCTGAATTGTGAGAAAAACGTCAGAATATTAATTTACAAATATAGGCATACTATTGTTACATGTTTGCTCGTAATACATTTATGTTATGTTAACTGATACAACTAGAAATGTTAAAATATATGTGTAGAAAATAATAAATCAAATTTTTCAGCATGATGCCTGCTGTATTACACTACATTAAAGCACTTAACCTTGTTCTAAAGTGTTACCATAAATATCTTTAAAAGTCTTCATTCTTTTACATTATGAACTTACTTTCAAAATTACCTCAAGTTTGTTTACTCGTTCACCCAACCACGACAGACTCCAGATGCTATGCTTCTTCTTTCCTTTTCTGTGTAGAACACTGGGTGATAAAAGATGCTACGCGGTCTATCTTGGCTTTTCCCCAAAATCTCACCGCATAATGTGAAAAAGTGCACCAGGCTTAAGGGTTTCCTCTATCATCCCCGTCGGGCTTCAGATATCCCATAATGTGCTACAGCTGTTTGGTGAAGCAGCCTGTAATGACACGAGGTGGCCGCTCGTTTCTGGTGTTAATGACGCGCATTCTGCTGTTTACATGGTTCTGGCCCATTAACTCAAGAGATTCCTCAGATCGGCTTTATTATTGTGCAGAAAAGCAACAATGACCTTTGTTTTTTTCTTCCCGAGAAGCCACCATCAAAGGTTCATGTGACCGAATAAACAGGGAAACCGCAGTGTAATTATTACAATCACCTTCAGTCAGACTCATAATGAAGTGTGACTAATTAGCTCCCAGACAGAGTTTGAACCGGTGTCTGTGTTTGACACACTGACTCTGTCGAACATCACGACTGCTGCGCTACAGCCTCGTCCGCACTTCATCTGCGTTATATATGAACCGTATAAAGTTAAAAGGGAGGTTTTCTAAACTTTTGTTGAAGTACACAAGATTACACTAGGTTTCCTCAACCAAAATGTAGTTTTACGTGACCATTTTCCATCTTCTCTATGACTCTCACAGTTAAACCGTGTGCTACTGTAACTTTAAGACATGCAAATGATGACTGTAACCTCCATATATGTACTGTTGTTCATCAGACTGAAAA